ATGCATAAAATAAAAGAGGTATTGTATATCCAAACATACCTTCAGCATCAAGACCTATAGTTCATAATGCAAATCTTCCTGTTCCTCAAGCTAATATGGAAAATGTAAGTGATACAGAAATTTATTCAGATTTTCAAATAATTGAAGAACAGGAAGATCTGCATATACCTGAAACAAATGAAACTATACCAATATCATTTAATCAAAGTGAACTTAAATGATTTAGTACGAGAGCTACACATGCCAAAGGAAAGTGTTGAACTTCTTACTTAATTCATGCCTTAAAGCTAAAAATTTACTACCACAAATACACTTTTTATGGTATACACACCCTGAAAAAGAACTACTACCATATTTTTCAGAAGAAGGCTCACTAGTATTCTGCGATGATGTCAATGCAATAATAAATTTCATGGGTATTAATCACAATTCTTCTGACTGAAGACTATAGATTCTTTAAAAAGAAGTTTGACAGGAGTTTTACTTCATAATGGAAATCAATATGCATCGATTCTAGTGCCATACTCTGTTTATTTGAAATAACATATGAAAACAACATTTTTATTAGACAAGGTGAATTATAACAATTATTGGCTTTTACATAGTGACTTGAGGGTAATTGGAAAGTGACGTGGAGAACAATATGTTTACACTAAACTTCCACGTTTTATATGCAATTAGGATAGTTGGGGTAGAAAGAATCACTAGGAAAAAAAGACTAGAATTCTCAAGAGTATTTATCACCTGGATTTTAAAATATTCTTCAGAAACTTTTATTTGAATTCAGAATTATTTTGCTTCCAACAAGTTTCCAACAGTTTGTCAAAGCTCTAAATACAGAAAATGGCAGCTTTAAGTACATTAGTGGCAAATTTCCTTCTATTTCTGATGCTAAATTTAAGGAAGGAATTTTTGTTGGATCTCAAATTTGAAAACTTATGTTAGATTCCAAATTTGAAGCAACAATGAATGATTGTGAAAAAAAAGCATGGTTGAGTTTTAAATAGGTGAATAAACATTTTTTAGGGAACAGGATACATCCAGATTACAAAATTATTGTAGAAGACATGCTATAGACTATTGCTGGATGTTTATAAGAGAGTTACCGAGTGAAGAGAGTAAAAGCAGGTGAAAATCAACCAAAAGAAAATTCTTGCCTTGAAGCTAATATTTAGCTTAACATGTACTGTATAAGAGCAATATATGGAAGTATATTTTTATGTTCTTTCTATTTGATTATATGCTTTATATAATGTACTAGATATAATAATATATTTATAAATCTATTTATATACTTTATAAAACACATTAAATATATTTTTGTTACCATGCAATTTATATATAAGTTGCATCACTAAAATAAATTTATTAATAGAAGATAAAATAGAAGTATTTGTGAAAATAAAAAAAGCTCTTCATTTGCATTAAATCCTGACGTGATACAGAAATTCGGATTCAATTCTGAAATCAGCACTGGGGAAAAAATATATAAAATTACCTATTAGATTTAAAACATCATATATATATATATATATATATATATATATTTTTAAATGCAGACCAATGAATCCAATTTCCTCCTTTTACTGAAATGCAAAAACAAGTGGTAGCAAATGCTTTGCACAAAACACATTTACCAAGTTCAGCAATTTAGAATTCAATTTCAATCATTATACAAAGAAAAGTTTATATGCACTGAAATACCATTTGAAAGAATACTTGAAACAGAGTTGTTGATCATTTTGAAGAAAAGAGGATAGTTATGGAAGAGATTAGATGTCTAAATGTTTCATGATAAATAACCTTTGTCATCTGTAAATAATTCAAAGGCTCAGTTTAAAGAAACTGTTGCTATGAAGATAAGGAAAGATCATAAAGGAGCAGAAACCCTGCTTCTCAAAATCAATCTCTCTTCCATAACTGCCAGTCACAAGAGTGTTGATTGCTAGATAGCTGAATTTTAAGCTTTTAGCCATCACTGAGAATTTTGCTGCACATTGCTTATGGAAATCTTAGCGAGAAAGGCCTTTAAGCCAGAAAGTCATTGATCATTTCATTTCTTCAAATCGAAAAAGGGCCCACCTGAATTCATGCATCTATCTGAAGTAATCGCTTCTATGATGTCTTCGGCAATTAGTCAGGGCTAAGTTCAACAACTAATTCTTCTCCAAAACCATAATAGAACTAAAGTGAATTGTGATATTTGTGTGAATTAGTAGCATGGCTTATACTGCATCAATTCTTGTTGCTAATTTATTTCCTTTTTGAAATTACGTATAGTATATCTGAGATCTAGGGAGTTTATAACTTATTAATGGCAAAAATCTTCTTTCATATCCACAGTATATTTCCCTAAATTTTTGACTGTCAGGTATTTTTCAGTTTTGTTTCATAACACCATATGTACTTAAATTTTTTAGTTTATGAATTACAGTGCTATGTGCCACTGTAAATACATTCAAGTTTTTTCAGTAGTTTGTGCATGCAAAGAGTAATGCACAAATTAAAGTACTTAGTGTAAAAAAAAGTGACAAACTGATTTTTGAAAGCTACTGCCAGGAGAAAAATATTTTGTGATACGGAGTTTAAGCAGAATTATATCCTTTTCTGTTGTGAAGGCAATGAAATCAACAAAAAATAACTGATTGACTGATGAACATAATCACTGAAATGTGACTTTAGCTAACTAGTTTCTCATGAATGTCCATAATGTTCATATAAAGCTGCTTTACAATTTAAACTTCATAAATATTTGCTGTAGACTTCTGCTCTACAGCAAATATTTATAATATCTATAAAATCTAGATATCAATGGGAAAACACACCACTTTTTTTAATTGATTAAAGTTAAAAAATGTTTATCAGGGTGAATTTCAGAAAACTGTAATCAGATTCTAATAGACTTGCACAAAATATGATGTGAAGAGGAAAACATATAGTGATTGATATTATAGAAAACAGTAGCTGAATACCAGAAAATATATTCGAATATAAATTAAACATTAATTTTTAATTTGTTTAACAAGAACAACAAAAAATATATGATAAGCAATGAAGCATTGGATAGTACAGCATCTGAAAATAGTATTAAATTAAAGAAACAAGAAAAGAACATGAATTACAAACTAAGAGTGGAATCTTATCTATCCAATAGCTAATTTTAAATAGCTTAAAAATGAGCAAGAAAAATTGATGTAACACATTATGCTGCTGATTTTTATTGTCTTTTAGATTAATGTCAGTTGGTTGGCCTATTTTCAGCATTAACATACATAACGACCATACATAATGTAATGCATTATATAGATAATTTATATTACAATATATATTTATCATTGTTATGCAAAAATACAGAGAATCCACAGAATTCAAATGCAAAAATGGTTTTATAGATATAAAAAACATTAAAAAATAACTCATTAAATTTAAGTACAATACTTTTATCCGAAAAAGTTATTTTTAGCAATGAATATCAAAGACTACAAAGAAATTTAATACTTCAAAAAGTATAACTCAATCTTCCTAAAAACATACTTTGTTTTAATAATTAATTAAAAGCTCAAAACCCTAACACACATTAAGAATTTAAATGAACTCAACAGTTTTACTGAATGCAGCTATTTGTTTATCAAACAAGAAAACTCGTTTCATAACCTAATTATTCCTTAATCTACATATCAGAAAACAAAATATAGCCACATAAATGCCCGAGTGCTTCAATTAACAACTTCAACTTAAAATATTAAAAAAACTCCAGCTTCCAATGATTTAGCCCTTTGTTTACCATAGGTTTTTTAATTTATAAATGATATTGGTTAAAAAAACTTTTTTCAAGGAAGGTAAGATCTTCTCATTAATTGATGAAACAGTAAGAGGGCCTTTCGCCCCCTCTTTTTTTAACGTGTGCAACTTTCTACTCATTGTTAGAAATTTAGGGAAATATTTTTCTCATAAAATCACTGAAAAATAAACCTGATATAAATACACATTTGGACAAATAAGTTGAAAAAATGAGAGATATTGTTATTTGAATTCATATGTTTGAAATTGTGATAATTTAAAACACTACAGCTCACATGATTACAATAGCAATGAAAAAATTTCAAAATTCCAGAATGGCAACAACCACTTTTTTAGTGTACAAATTGATCAGAGCATTAAAAAACCATAAGTGACATGGAGCCATTTATGGTTAATGGATGAAAATGCCAGCATAAAACATTTGCAATGAAAAGCATTTTAAACGACCAATGGCAACAACAGAGGGCAAGGAAAAAAAACATTTTACTGAAATTACAAAATTTACATTGTGCCCACCTTTGCAGATGGTAATGCATAGCATGCAGGAGATTTTTCACAACAATGATAAACATAATATTACAGGAAGAATTTAGGTAACAACTTTCAATTCTGTCAAATCTTGTGGATTTGATGCAGACAGGCTGCTAGGACCTTAAATTTCAGATAACCCCAGAACCAGAAATCCAACGATGTGAGGTTGAAGAGTAGTGGTGGATATGAAACTGCAAAGGTAAGGAAGATGACTATCTTGAAACGTTGTACACGTTGAAAACTTATAATTTCAATAAAAGTGTTTTTTTCCCCTTTCCTCACTAGTCATTGGTCCTTTACAATGATCTTTGCTTTTATGCTGGCAATATTTTTTTGCTGGCAATTTTCGTCATACATGTATTGTTCCAATGCCATTTATGATTTTACAATGTACTGATCAATTTATGCGTGAAAGAAGTGGGTGTTGCCATTCAAAAATTTCAAAATTCTTTTACTGTAACTGCAACTGTGAGAGCTTTATTGTTTTAAATCATCATAATCACGAGCATATAACTTGAGATAACAAAATCTGTAATTTCATTTTGATTTGTTAAGCAGATAGGGTGCTAGGGGTTCATATACTGGGGAAGTTTTTTATGACCATCATGTACAAACCCAATAAAAGCATTTTCTAAATAAACAGAGGATTTCAGGCAATCATTATTTACCTTCATCATTGAAATTGAGAGATAAAAATGGTGCACACAAAGAATCTAAACCCTGCCAATACACATACTGTGGATGACTAACAATCCAAGCTTTCAGAATTCTTTTAAATTTAAGGTGTCCAGCGGGTGAAGAAAGTAATTCATCATATTGATGGCAACGAGGAATATCAACTTCTATCTAAAAAATAAAAATAAAAAATAAATAAAAAGCTGCTATATTTCTTATGAAAATAACAAAATTTCGTGCCAATTACGTACTTATGAATTTTTGGAATATGAACTACAGTTTACCTGCCTGTCAGTTGGTGTAGGAGTTTCTTTATCTATGCTATCATATGTTTCTTGTATATTACCCTATAATGAAGGCAGTGAATTTCAAATTATCTGCTAAATGCTAAATAAATAAATGCATAAAATTCATTTCAATCACAGAATTCTGTAATTCACTGAGAGAATGAAACATACTTAAAAATAATACAAACACAATACAAAGTGTGCAAGTTCAATATCTAGAAGGCTAACTTATGCAAGTACTGATTAAAATTTTATTTGCACATTTGACAGAAAACTCTCTGCATCCAATGAATTTATGAGATCTTTTACATAAATGCATAATACTACTTCATTCAAATTCAATCCTACCTATAAAAAGTAACCATCCTGCAACATAAAATGTTAAATGCAGTTTAAAAGAAGAAATGCATTTTTAGCATAAAAATTTATAGTCATAATTTGCAGCAGCACTTTTATAAGTCATATTACAATTACACTGCATTAAGATCATGCTACAACTTTTAGTCAAGCTTAAATGTCAATTTTTCTAAAGTATATGCCCAAACCTAATAGCCAAACTACATCAAAGAAACAAAAACTTTGGATTAATATTATTTTTAATTATATTTTAATATTATTAATTAACTTTTTTGATGAGTAATTTCAAACAATGAAGTTAGTAGCCAAAATGTCGCATGAATGCAATATATCACCTTTACAAATCTATTCTCCCACTTACATAGATCAGTAGTTCATAACATTACATTATACAGCATTTATTTTTGTGGAATGTTTCAGATATATACATATGCTGCACAAATTACACTAAAGATATAAATAAACTGTTACTAGACATTCAAAAATTCACTTGTTTACAAACTCAAATGAAATTCCATTTTGCCGGACTCTGATGTCTTGCAGTACTAGCCTAGCAATAGCATTTTATTAAGCAGCTACTGAGGCCCAATTATTATATTGTGGGAAATGTTATGTCATGATATTCCCTAATCCCCTACTGTGTGATGTACGCATTGCGTCAGCATGTGTTTCCCCCCTTCGGGAGAAGACGAGGATTAGCTGGCAAGCGAAGCAGACGTTGCTCGATCGCTCGTATACCATTTTCATTAATTGTAATCCTAATGTAATCTATATTTGTAAATAGTAATAAATGTGTGTTATCAACTATGGTCATTGCCTTTCCCCACAATATTGCTTATTTTTCTCTTTATTCTAAATGAGTTACATAAACTCAATTGTACTCCTATAACCCTCTCAGCACTATGGACATAAAATTCCATATAGAAAGATGGTTTTCCAATTAACTGCGCATGAAAATTTTTGCCAGATTCTAATGCATCCAATTTTGGGTTGCATGCATACTGGATGAAAAGAAGTCAAGGTACAAAGTTTAAGGATCATTTTTAAATTATAATCAAGAACATACTATTTATTCATGACATTATGGAAAACATTTAAATTTCAGGAAAAAAAACTGGTAATGCCGAGAGGGATAATTCAGAGAGAGTTGAAAGTAATCCTAAACTCAGTATTTCACATATAAATTTTATGAAAAGTGATAACTTGCTGTAAGAAAGTTTTATTTCTTCAGTGATCAATCAATATCTAAATTTTAATAATAAACAGAAATTCCAACTCTCATAACAATACACATAATTGCTATCATACAAATTTTCAATCCTTTTAATTATCAAAAAGTCTTTCTATATTTTAAAGTTGGATTTTTAAGTTATACTTAATCTATTTGCCAGACAAGATTCTACATTTATGCAAACATAACACCACAAAGGATACCCTGAGCTTCCTAAAACCCTTTTGTGTGGAAAGGTAATTGATTCTATAACAGATAACAGACAGCTGCTTTACAGGCATTATCCTCAGAAATCTTGTATATAACAGCAGACATGAATAACAACAAAGGCTTTTGTTATTTTGGCAACATGTACTGTTTATTATGCACTGTCTTTAGAGTTTTGAAACATTTCCTTGCAATCTAAATATTGCATATTGTAGAAAATTCAGAAGTCTAGAAACCTCTGCTTGACTACCCCATTTCAATCCATTCCAATGATTCTATAATCAACTCCTACTGAACAAAGATAAAACTACTACTCATGGATGTTGGCAAAAAAAAAAAAAAAAAAAAAAAAAAAATTATAATGAGATGCCAATATTACAACCAGCTGTATTTTTAGAGCTGTAATATACACATCTTACTTGTACATACACTATTGCATCCACAGAGATTAGGCTAGTGAATGATATATACACAAATTTCTGCTCCTCACTTCTGTTAGCACTTCACTTTTCTCATATTATTGTTTCATTTTAGCAACCGTAGTAAATGAACAGCTGTCTATCAATACAGCTATTTTTGTACTTGCTTTAAAGGGGTATATATATATATTTTTAATATGCAGACTAATTTACACTATATTCCAGAGAAAATCACAAGATTATGATATGCATTTTTACAATACCTCAATTTCTAGAAGAGCAGCCCAAATCAAAGGTCTGTATAATGGTGGAATATCCACTTTAGCTTCATGTAAAATCTGACTCCTTTTGTATGGATAAGCTTCAAGCAGACGTTTAAAAAGAATAATACGATGAAGCTAAAAAATGTAAAATTATAAAATCTCAAATTTATGCAAAAATTTTTAAACTTATAAAGCAATGGAAAAGTTGAAAGAAATTCAGATGAGTTTCAGAAAAGTGTATACATTCACAGCAGTTTGCAGTATAATACATATATAGAGGTTAAAGTAATGGTATCTCTAATCCTTAAAAGAAGCCATTTTTTATGTTCCTGATAACAAAGCAAAGACATAAGCATATTTTTGTATAATTGTTTTCCTGTACAGTTAGACTGTACCTGAACCTGTTCTGGTAAAGGTTATCTAATCTAAGAAAATAATAAGCCGTACCGCCAAAATTGGCACAACCGGCAATTTAAAAGAAACAAACTGAAAGATAACTGGATAAACACAACAACAGAATAAGGACTACTTATCCAAAAACTCATCCTCTGCTGGAGATGTGTCGGCGTCGCCAACGGGTCATCTCGACCTTCATTCAGAATAGAAACCACCTATTTCTTAACATAAAATGACTAAATTGAACTCAAGACAACTGCTAACCTAAGCAACAATTATAAAATACAAATATTGCCTAGCTTAACGAACAATAAGCATTTACAGTTTTCAGTAAATTATACATTGTATGTATACAAATTACATTATAATTTATGCAATTCAACTCAAAAATTTAAGCAATTAAACAAAAGGATCGAAATATACATAATTATTCAAATTGGTAATAATTTTTATAAGTCCTAATTTAGCTTTATTATTGCTATATAGATATTTTTCATTATTTATAGATATATTTCGAAAATATTCTCCTCTAATTTTCTTCGTTAAGGCACAGTCCCAAATGTAATGTCCATTAGATGCTCCAGATGCATCCTGACCACATCGGCAATGAATATCTTTCCCATGAAACCTTTTTAGATATTCTGGAAATTGGCCATGTCCTGTTATCAATTGATTTAGCAATCTATTGTAACTTAATCTTTGCTCTTTGACAACAGGAAATATTTTATAAACCTTTCGTCCAGTTTTGTTATAATGCCATCTTTGTTGTCATGTGTGGAGAATCTTGTCATGTAGTACACTCTTAATATAATTAAGAGATAAAGGAACCATGATATCAATATCTGTATTATAGCATGCTTCCTTAGCAGCAGAATCTGCTGCTTCATTTCCATAAATATTCCGAATGTCCTTTTAATCCAATTTATATGTAATTTCATTTTTGAATTAATATTGTGAATATAATTTCTGACTTTATCTACTTTTGCAGATAAACATTTTCTAGAATTAAAAGCTCTAAGGATGCTCTGCTGGGAATCTGTGAACACCGAAATCTCCCAATTTGTAATATATTTCTCATTTTCTTCTCATTAGCCCATCTTATGGCATATTCAAAGGCAATAAGTTCTGCATCAAAAATAGTTGAATTATTATTCAATCTTAATTTAGATTTATATACAAATTTATTATTTGCAAAAGCAACAAATGCTGCTCCAACATTTTTATCAATCACGGAGCCATCAGAGAATAATTCCAAACCAACAGCAGTTGGAAGAAGTGTCTTCCAGGTAACCTCTTTAAATTGTGCCGGATGAAAATGAAACTTTTCTAATTTTGGATCAATTTCTTTATTAGAAATCTTCAGGTCACAATAATCTATATTCTTCTTCATATGAACAGCTTTATAAATCAGCGTTTCAGCTTCAGCTACTAAGTCTATAGGCATAACCCCAGCTAAGACCTGTAGGCTGGTGGTAGAGACTGTTCTGTAGCATCCCGTAATGGGTAGCATTGCAACCCTCTGAATCTGTAGCAATTTATTTCTCACCCTTTCCGTTCCTGGTAAAGGTTACAATAATTAATCGAAAATGAATGCAAAATCAGTGATCTGATAGAGATTTGAAGAAGGCAAATTGCAGGTGTTTGTCTAGCTGTAGCACTGCTGACATGAGTACAATATTAAGAATATTTTGTGCAAAGCTGCAATATCATACAATGTTTATAACAGAACATCACTGGTGAAACAGTACAGAAGGAATACAAAACTCAACAACAGTAGGTTATTATAGAGGATTACTAATCCGAAGAAAAACAGTGGGACAAATTTGGCTGCTGAGTTAAATACACATCTAAAGAACAGTTTCTACACATGCATTACAGAAGAAAGCACATAGGAACAACATGGAACATCTGATAATGCAAAATTCTATCATAGAAGATTATGAAATGGAGAATACAACAGTTTCAAAAACATTAAATACAGCTACCATTTAGAAAAATGTGTTTTGACTAATCAATCTTTACACAATTAGCCATCTCAGGCCAGTGTTTACTTGTGGAAAATATAGGCATAAGCCAACTCATTGTATTTGTTCTTAAAGCATGGTGGAGGTTGTGTCACATTTTCTGCAATTATATCATAATTTTCAACAAAATCTATTTATTATTTTGAAAGGAAGAATGACTAGCTGTCATAATATAACCATTTTAGGCAATCATGTCCATGTGCTGGCGCAGAGATCGTTTTCTGCTGGAACTGCACTTTTTAAGGCAACACAGCCTCAGTTCACATAGTTTCGAATGTCCAGCCATGGACTGAGGAATGTGATGATGTAGTTATGCAACTTTCATGGCCTTCACAAGCATTAGACTTCAACACTAAGCTACTCTAGCTAATGCTGGAAATCAAACTGGGATCTCATCACCCTTCTTTAGCATCCTTTGAGAAAAAAAGAAGTTCTTTCCCGGAGAATAGTGTAATACAGCAATAACAATAATATGGTGCATCTATTGCATGGATGATACATGCTGTTTAAAATGCCAAAAGAAGTCATATATCAAATTCACTGCATAATACCTCATTGCCTAAGGTGTTAACCAAGGTTTGTGATTAGGATAACAGAAGGGCTAGTTCATTTCTTTCACTGACTCCTCACCAAAGACATCCTTGCAGACATAGTTAACGGGAAGTTTTCTGATGTCACTAGCCTGCATCAGCTTTGATTTTGCATAGTTCTACTCTTTTGTGATTGTGAAGCATTATTCTAGTGTGAACATCACAAATTAACTTATATTAAGTATATTTGTTTTTAGTAATGTAAATATTTAAAAATATTTGTCATATAACTACTTTTCCTTTTAAATTTTGCATTGTAAAATATTCTCGTAGTATATCTTCTTCAGCTGTTGCAATAAGCCATAACACTTACAAAAATATCAAAAGATGGTATTTTGTATTCCATGTATTCTCAAAGAAAAATTTCCCATAAAAAGCCCGATACATAAGTGCTGAAGACAAGGATTTTATAAATGTGAAGAATTCAAGATTTTTCATGGAATGTTTTCTTTGCAATAATTATAAGGATGATATGGAAAATCACTTGCTTGAATTGCAGCAAAGGAATTATCAAATTCTAATGCTGAGTCACAAGTAAATTTAACATGCTCAGATTTGGAAGAAATAAAACCAAGAAGGCAAGAGAAAAGAAAACTAACACAGAGTGTTTCTGAAAGAGACTGCACAAATTAAGTCCATTAAAAATTCATTTTGAGCCCAAATATGAAAATGATGAATATATAAATTCAAATTTATATTATCTTGAAACAACACTAATAACTTACGATTTAAATTTTCCTGAATGACCTAACTGTAAAGGTAAACAAAATTAAATACACTGAATGATTTGAAGAGGAAAATTATGATCCTTAGAAAAACAATTAAAAAGTGAAAAAAATTGAATTTGTGTATAATATACAAAAAATGGCAGATATCTAGAAAAAAATTTTATACCAGAAGTTTGAAAATTAAAATTTCTTATAGCAAAATAAAATAAAATAAATAAATAAATAAATAAAAAACCTGCATAGATCGCAGAATTTGGAAAAGTAAGCCCCACTTTTACAAAGTTTCAGATTAACACATTATAGGAAAAGAAGGGAAAAAATACTGACTAGTGATGATATTGCATGTTCCATTGTCATATAAAAGCTTCGAATTTTGGATTGGGAAATGATAAGTCCTCTAACTAGAGCTAGAACATTTAAAAGACAATGCATTATAAGTTTATATGGCTTCAGAATTTAGAATGATGATCTTGCCATAATACAGAAGGGCAGATAACCCTTGTGTGCTTTGCCATATTGTTATGCAATAATAAAAACGAAACCAAATCATAATGCAGAAATATTGCAAACATGTGAAAAAGTATGTACCCTTAATTTTCAAAATGCAAATGTATTCAAAGCTCTGACTCTCGAATAGATTACATGCTTAATCATTTTAAAGAAAGTTCAGTTTGTGTTAATCATAGGTCTTATTATGCAGTAGAAGCAACTAATTTTCTTTGAGTTTTAACTCACCAAAAAAGAACGAACTTTTTCCCTTTGATAAAACATGTTCATTCAGCTAGAGATGAGGTAAAAGCTGTAGCATCTGAATTAAGAGATCTGGTACTTTGTGAAAAATACTACAGATTTTAATCAACTTTGCCAAATTCTAGTCTGAAAATCCATGAAGTATGGGTTTTTTCAGATTTAAAGCACTTTAAATTACAGAGAAATCACTTTTCAGATAAACGATTTGTTCTAGAAGATGGAAAGATTTTAAATTCTGATATTATAAAGATAGATTCAGGAGAAATTATGACACAAATTAAACGAAATTATCTAATGCAAGGGAAACTGAGAGCCACCCACAAAAAAAGTTACTGTGAAAACATGAGTTCCAAATGATATTTTTGTAGCGAAAGCTATATTTTATCACATACGAAACTGAAACGTATTGGATCTCTTTGACTTAAGTGATAAATTTTTCAATATTATGAATAAGGGTAAGCCATATGCTCCCTCATATAAAATACTGCAAGCAGCATTCTGACTAAGGGATGCAAAAGATAAAAGGACTACGAATAAATATGCAGAAAATTTTTTAAAAAATTTATTACTTTTAAGAAATAAAATTTTATATTCAAAATGTTAGTGCATTTTTATTTATTTTTTAGAATGAATAAGTATTATTCAACTTATTAAATGTTTAATGCAAACTGCATAAGCAATAATATCATCTCTTCAAAATTATTAGTATTTTTCTCACATAGTTCATTTTAATGTCATTTCTTCAAATTAGAAATGCTTTAGAAATGCAATTCTTTTTCGTGAAATGTCTTTTGTTGATCAGCAAAAACAGGATTATGCCATCACTCTCTCTTTCAGGAAAAGAAGCAGTATGAATTAGCCCTTTTCTTCAAAGTTTGAGTGCTTGATACCCACACCCAGAATTCTAGAGATTTAATTTTTACTACAGGATATGAGAATTTCTGTTGAATAATTTTTTTGTACTTATGCTACAGTTGATAAAAATACAACAGTCAAAATAAATGAAGTGTTTTTGAAAATATAAACTACGATGACACCATACAGTAATAAAAAATATAAATTAAACTGCAGAAATTAAGTTCTGAAACTTAAGTAGTACATAAAATTGTTTCATGAAAATTTATCAAACAAAGTCGCAAAATATCGATAGAGGAGTAACAAAGAAGAAATTGTAAAGTAGAAAAGCAAAAAACATTACTCAAAGTGCTGTTGAAGTTCATTTAAAGGACTGTAAATGAATAATACCTGATACTCAACATCTTTCTCTTTAATTACAAGTGGTAATTTGGCTGTCTCATTTAAAGTCGAAAGGCAATGGCTAGGAGTAATTCCATTTAACCTGTGATAAAATATAAAAACAATCTTAAACACGAATCTCAGATATAAAGACAAATATGCACACGAAGTAAAAGTAGGTTGGTCTTAACTTTTCAACGTGAATAATGTTCAATTTATCTCCCATAACCTTGCAGTTTCATGGCCACCATGATCCCCTGACCTCTGATAGATTTCTGTTTCTGGGGTTACCTGAAATCTAAGGTGATGTACACATCAAATCTACAAGATTTGTCCAAACTTAAGGATGCTATAAAGTGTGAAGTTATACAGATTCCTGTAATGTTATATTCGTCATTGTTATTAAAAATCTCCTACATCAATCGTTTGGTTTAGTAGATTATAGCAAAGCACACTAGGGCTATCTGCCTAAGGGGAGGGATGTCTTCGTAGAAGATTTTATAAGGGAAACTGGATCATATACACCTTACACATGGTGAAAACAACAAAAACACCCACGCAGCCAGCCCATCAACCAGCTGGAGTCAAATCCAGGTCAGAACTACCAGTGTTCAATGATTTTACTACTCGGCCACTGGTGAGCTGTTCTGCATTAATGCATTACCATCTGCAAAGTTGTACACATTGATAACTTGTAATTCCAGTAAAAGTTTTTTTGTTCCTCTTCTCTTGTACTGTCATTGGTTATTTATTATATTTTACACTGGCAGCTTTTGTCATACATGCATCGTTATAAAGTAATTTATGGTTTTTCAACACACTGATCAATTTGTGCAAGAAAAAAAAGGGTTTAACCATTTGAAAATTTCAAATTTTTTTACTGTCATCATAAATGTGAGTGCGCTATTGTTTTAAACCATCAGAATTATATGGGCATATTTTTAAATATGTAAAATTTCATTTCTTTAAGTAGTTAGGGGTTCAGTTTTTTTATGACTACACTACATGTATATATGTGCATAATTCCAATAAAGTAAAAATTAAGAATTAAGAATGGTAATAAAGAAAATTAAGGATTCTGATTTAAAGATTACATTAATTCCAATCTACAAAGTTGTAATAGGAAAAGAAAGAAAGTAAAAATTAAAAATTCATTTAATAAAAAATGAAAGGTAAAAAAAAAAATATATTCTAAAAACCAAGGGTAAAATAAAGCTTGTTCTTACCTTTTGGTTTTTATTAAATCAATTTTTAATTTTTACTTTCTTTCTTTTACTATTATGACTTTGTAGATTGGCATTTATATAATCTTCAAATTAAAATTAGTAGTTTTCTTTATTGGCATTCTTAATTTTTACTTTATTGGAATTTTAAATAGTATTCCATTTCATTCATTTGGTTATGTTTAATTAAATTACTGCAGCCTAGGCACAGGATTCTTAAACAGTCCTTCTTTCCTTTTGTTTATATATATATATAAAGGTAATAGTAAAGTAAATATGTAGTTAATTATAGCAAAATATGCTTATTTAATGCGCCTGGAGTAGAATATTTTCATGAACAATTTTTTTAGGAAATATTCACGTATGTTGATAACACATTTTATGCAGCAGAAAGTCCTCAAAAATCAGCCTTGCTCACTGTGGGAATTAAATGTAAAACCGTTCAATTACTTATGAGGTGTCTTGATCATTATATTAGAACAATATGGCATGATTATAGCAAAGCACACTATACGGCATGATTGCCCTTAATTCTTTACATTTTTGCAAATTAAAGTGTTATTGGAGATACAAATTCAAGCTACTCAGCCAACTCTAATTAGTGATAAATTATTGCTGAGTTTACTCTAATTCAAGAGCTATCAAAGAAAAAAAAAATTTTTTTGAAGAAGTAAAATCAATTGCTCCTTCTCCAGAAATTTAAACTAAGACTATCTAGCTGGTAGTTAGCTATGTTGACCATGATACAGGAGAGTGAAGGCATGACTAATTTTTTATAATTATGTTTGGTGGAGGAGACTAAAATTCAATATTTAGTCTCTTGCATATACAATATGAAATTCTGTTATGAACTTTCTGAAAGCATTTTATAAAATTTACCTAACCAGTCTCAAAAGTTTATCTAGTTCACATTTTTCCTGTTAATATTTTCAGGATGATGTATATACAAAACACTCACAACTGAATACAAATACAAAGCAAGTTCAGTGAAAAGTCCTGACACACATTTCTTCATTTCAAATGTTGTAATAGACTTGTATATGAGAATACCAAAAACTAACAGATTATGTAATGAAGATCTGAGCAATAACTATTAAATAATATATAAAACACACATATGCATACTCACGAATATTCGATTAAAGGGTAATAAATATCAGGATCAACATCTCTGAGTCTCTAAAATATAAAAGACAGTTTTTTAATCTTTCTAATGCTGCCATAACAACAGCAGAAAAAAAAATATATTTCATAACTGAAGATTTTAAATTATAAACTTACATGCTTTAAAGGTTCAAGTGGAAGAACTAGAACTGAATCATCTAATAAATAAGCACAGTCTTTCTCATGACCAAATTCTTCTCCTTCACCAGCTACTATTCTAAAAGATTATAACAAAATGAAAAATAAAAATACAGGAATAATAAATTTTCCCGTGACTAAACAGAAAGAATTATTAAGAAAAGAATCAGAACAGAATGTTTCACTGAGCATACGTCATAACAGCTGGAATGCTTTCACATATCCAAGTTTCATTTCCCAATAGAAATAGGCTAAACATAATGAAAATAATAATTAAGAAATCATAAACTTGCTAAATATATAACAACAAATTTATTGTTATTATATATTTAGCAAGTTTCTAATTTCTAGTTTCTGCAAAATATTTAGGTTAACGTAAATATTAAATTTAGTTCTTCTGATTAAAATATTAGAGACATATGTAAAATAAAAATGAACTATATATAGAAGACGAAATTAAACACACCTAAAATTAACCAAAGCATAAACAGATAACGCACATGATTAATACAGTCAAAAGTCATTAATCTGAACTTGTCGGGACTTTGGCGATTCCGGATTATCAATTTTTCCGGATTATAGATCATCAGTTTAAATCTGGTAAGATGGCATGCAGAAATTATAAAATTAAAAATATGAAACCGTAATTTATGAAATAAAGAACAATTGTGATCTAAAGGGTATCAAAATTTACAAAAAAAAAAAAAAAAAAAAAAAAAAGCTTAATATTTATTTGTTTACTTTATTAAACATTTCTTGCAATGCAAGTTCTTTAAGTTGCTTCGTTTTTTATGTGATAATACTTTCTCTTTAATTCTATAAACAGACATAATTTCTTGTTCAGTTACGAAGTTCCGCTGTTGTCCTATAATTGCTGTGTCGAGAATAATAAATAATTGCTGTGTCGAGGCGTCCCCCCCCCTCGCTGCAGAGCTGCGTGAAATTGATAAACAGATTTCGGAATGGTTAGATAAACACAGGATATGCCTTTATTCATTTTTTTGCAGCAATTCCACTGTTTGTTTAATGGACTTCGAAACATACTTTCACTTTGTAGATCCTTTACATATTAGTAAATATATATCAGAAATTCTATTTGACATAATCGAAAGTTCAAGCTTACTTTTATAAAACTGCTCTAACAATCTGCAAAAAATAATAAGCCGGATCCATTTCGAAGATTAAGGAACAACACAATCTGCAACTTTAACTGAATTAGATAATTTTAGCTTACCTTATAATGTCCGTTATACATTAAACGCACATTCGTAAACGTATTTTGCATATGTGCACATACATATTCGCAGCCGTAAAGGTCTTACGTGCATGCATCTACGCGACGCATGCGCAGAAAGTTTATAGCTTTGAGGTCTGGATTATAGATCATTCCGGATTATGGGTGTCCGAATTAACAACTTTTGACTGTATAACTCTTCATGCAAATCCAAATAACTGAAATTTTAATCTACAGTAAATAAAAATATGCTTCACATGCAATTTTTTATTTCTCTTTAATACTTATTTCCAGATTTTTATGTTTTACACAATACTTATAATGGCATTAATTACCAGGGTTCATAGCCACATTTTAGTGAAAAAAATAAGCACCTATAAGCAATTTTCAAGCACATTTTAAGGAAAAAATAAGCACCTGTCTAATTACATTATACACAACTGCATAACCTTAAAAGAAAAATTAGATTTGTAATTTAAAATATGAGCAATGCAATATTTATTACGAGAATGAGCATTACCTCAACAATGGAAAACAATTAACTTTTTTTTTTTTTAATTTTAAATGACAGTTCAATTTACAGAATTAGTTTACAATGAGAGAAAAAAAAAAAAACTATGCAGAACTAAACTATATTACAAAATTTAATGATGATAATTTCAGTTGAAAACATAGAAAATAAATAATAATAAGCCATAATAATTGTATTCGTTTAGCACCTAATAATAAATACAATTTATTTTTCCACTCATATTAATATTTAAATAATTTAACTTAAATCAAAATTCTGAACATTTTCTAAATTTTCATTCCATAACAGTTTTCCCTTAACATATATCCCAAACAAAGTAATTTAAGTAAAAAAGAGGAACATTTCTGAAATCAGAAGACGGGAAATTGCTTCATGCAGTCATCCTTTAACAGTAAAAGCTTAACTAACCCGCATAATCGGAAATTCCCAAATATTCCGGATAATAATTGGAAAAAGAGGAGTGGGGGAGACTGTAGCCATTCTTTAGATTTAAATGTAGGCTAAATAAATGATTTTGACATTTCGATATGTGCATCATATAAAAATAGACCAACGGAACTGAGAAATATTCTGCTTAGAAAGCACAGTAAAACTCTTTTAAGTGTTCATAAACAAATCTCAAACTGAACATCAAATTAATTATCAATGCAAAAATACCGCAAACGTTATTGCGCAATACGTTGCGGCGTAATTCTTCCATATGTGATATTACGCAATCGGAATCAACAGCTGCCAGTATTCGGAGGAATAAAGAACTAAATAAAGGAAAAGACAAGAGACTTGCTAATTTGGGAGTGTTTCCTGATTCTAATTTTCAACAGACTGCGTTTAAATTTCCAGGAATAGAATCAATCTTCGTTTGGGTTGGGTAGACCGCAAAAACTTTTAGTCCTATTCAATCCAGGATTGGACAGCGTGTGTGTGTGCAAAAAAAGGGGGGATCCGCTGCTTCAATATTAGAGATTTTGTGGAGAAAGTGGAGAACCTCCCAACCTCCGTACTGTATAATGTATTGGCAAAGAAAATGAAATTATTTTGACTATTCGATAACTTTCCTTTTATTTAAACCATTCCGAATATTATTCCTTAGAAAGCTAATCTGTGTAAAAACACACCCATTTTTGGAAGTTTTATCTATACTTCAGCAGTTACTGCAACTATATTATTATAAATATTCATACATATGCTCATAATATAAGCATAACGATCACAATAAACATGCGAATATGAACTGACCACGCGGAACGAGAATGCAAATTATTAAAATCTTGATAGAAATTCAAACGTGTGTAGTATTTGGGTGGGAGGAAAAGAATACCGAATGTACCAGAATTTTCTACCGATTTCGCAATTCTTTGGCCAACAGAACGACGTGCACCTGTCTGTACTCTCGCGCGCACCATAGGTTACGTTAATGCAGAGGAAGGGGGGAAAAGCAATTTCCGGGAGTATGATTCACCATCTGACGTTGCATATAAGGAAGAAAAGTTGTTTATTTAGTTTCGGCTTTGGTACGGGGGAAAAATGCGCGTTCATTAAAAACAAAGGATTAAAAAAAAAAGCATTAAAAGCAAAAAATAAGCACTAAAAACAAAAAAATAAGGGCTTTAAAGAAAAAGTAAGCACCTATAAGGGCCTTTATATTTTATTTCCAAATATAAGGACTTATAAGCACTTATGAACATACTTTGAAATGGTAACAATAGGGGGCTTAGCTCGAATAAGTTCTTGTCTTCGTAGCTCAGCTTCCAGATCACCTCCAGCTAACTGCCATAAGTAATACACTTCTTGAAGTGGTCTCTCAGCAAGATGATCATCTACAAAAAATTACACAATTTTAAAACTAAGTAACGAATCTAAAACACGGTCAACAATTTTAAACTAAAAATAAAACTGGTACACAAACCCACACTTCTGCATATCATACACATGCTTAAATACATGTAGATTTGTGCATTTTAACTATAATTTTCTGAACATCAGCTGTAGAAATGTAAATATCAGTCATACAGATTTGCTTCCCTCATAAAATTTCTTATTTCCTGTAAAATCTACCTCTTTTTATAATCACTAACAAACAAAACGTCATATATAAGCTAAAAATTTCTGAACAAAAGTTTTTAACCAAATCATCAGTGAGTTGGCTTAGGGGTCAAATAATCAGAAAGTAATAAATGAAATATTAACAACTAACTAATAATTAAACATGCTGAAAAAATAGCAGACTACAGTAGTAAGTTTTCAGTGCACGCTTGTCTGCAGTAAAAATTATAAACACAATAACCAGCATGAAGCTCATTATTAACAACAAATAGCACTATAAAATCTACATAGTTTTCTATATTAACATGTTAACACATAATTTAAGCACACAGCCAGAATAGTACAGTTGTACCTACATATCTGCTGATTCAGTAACTGTGGTTAATAACTCAGGGAAAGTGGCCTCTGAAGTTTCAAAATGTATGCCAAGTGACAAACAGCCAATGTTTAATGTGACATACAGCCACTGAAACAAGCTAGCTAACCACTAGATTTTCATATTAATCATAACAATAAGCACATGCACACACTTTCCTAACTAAAGGTGAGGATGCCACTAAATGTGAGGGAATGAAAATGATCAGCATTGGAACTTATACACATTCTCAGTCCACTGTACTGTACAGTACAGGAACTACACTATTAATACAGTAGTACTGTACTATTAATACAGTGTTTAATTCACATCAAAGTAACGGTCAATATAACTGACATTTGAAAAATAAAAAACAATATAGAGTAAATTTTGCACTATACTAACAATACAATATATAGTGTAATATAGTATACAGTGTTTAGTTCACATTACTTATTAATAAAAGTAATGTACCACTCAGCCTAATTCCTCAATGAAAGTTTCATCAAATTTATATATGATTTATGAACATCTTCTTTTACATAGCATTTGCTATTATTTATAGTAAATCTTAGAATACAATACCTGTGAATACGAAGGTACTACAGTAACTATATTTTCAGTAACAAAGAAAAATATCACCAAAACTAGAAACTAAGCATCATTCTATGACAAATAATTTTTATTAGTTTAAAGGGGCAATTTGTCCTGAAGGACTATTAATTTCGTTTTGGCATTTTGCGGCGAAATCTTTAAAAGGCTGTATCACTTTTCAAATCATTGCCACCATATATTATCACCCTGTCTTATATTTAAAGAAATTAAATAATGAAGAATAAATGTACGTATGTTTCTCGCACTGTGATAAAACAACGGTACCTAGAGCCATCAAAATTTGAATAATGTAATCTTCCATAGAATATGATAGGCATTTGGAAGCCCTAATTTGAATTTGAAATTTGTTTTATTACTTATTTAAGATTTTGTAACACTTCAGCGAATTTTTGATTAAAAAACTAAGCAATTTCAAAGCGGGCAATGGCAACACTGTATGAAAAAAGCATTTTTATCTCTAATGCACAAGACTCTGTATCAGAACTGCTAAAGACGTGCTCATTTTATAATTAATTTGCGAAATTGCTGTTGAAGTGAATTTGATAGTTTGAGTACATAGAACATGGTATTTAATAAAGGTAACACACGAAACATTAAAAAAACGCCCCCTTTCTGAAACCTTTCAGATTTTTTGTCTTTTCTTTTTTTGTATTTATTTTACAGTATGATTTTCACTATACTACTTGACAGGTAAGAACACTGACACTGTAAGAACTTTTTTCCACCTAGATCAACAAGCCAACTCAGATTAGCATGAAAGTGCAATTTAGTAGCAGTTCTAATCAATATCAATAATCTATATTTTTTTCAAATTCCTTTCTCTGTGGTTAACTGCAATATACACTACCCAACATTGAAACTGGAACACCAGGATGAGGTGGCACGACAATTACGCAAATTTCAGGGTAGACACATGTCACCGAGTTATGTGAATGATATGAAATGTGTAGCTTTCCGGTGTACGGTGAAGAAGATACAAGGGAAAGAACTTACAGACTGTTCAATATTCGTGCTGTTATTTCTGCTAGGGAAATCATTGTCTAAATTTGTTCTTGTCTCAGAGGACATGTGTAATAGCAGAGAATTCCAGGCTGTCATCAATGGAGGCAGTTCCAGCAGACATTATTTTACAAGGGGCATGGTACTTGAACAGAGAAGGGCAGGTTGGTTCATATGGCAAATCTCAGCTGACACACACCTAGATGCATCTACAGTGCACCGGCTGTGGCGACAATTGTTGGAGCAAGGAAATGTGGTAAGTTTGAGGGGTGCCGGTGCAGCCCGAATGATGGCAACATGTGTGGAGGATTGATGCATCCGCCGAAAAGTGGTAGCACATTTGCAAGCCACTTTTACCTCCATCCTGCAGCATGCTCAACAGCTTGGATGTTCCCATATCGACCAGAACCATTTGCCATTGATTGTTGGACAGTGGCCCGCACTTGTGGCATTCATTAAAAAGACTGCCATTGACCCCTGATCATAGATGCCAACATCTGTAATGGTGCTGTGTTTGAGCAATGTGGATGACAGAATGGCACAGGGTCATGCTCTCAGATGAGACACGTTTCTGTTTCTCCAGTGATAGTTGCCGTGTACAAGTGCGACATCGATGTGGAGACATGTCCTGGTTTGGGGCACAATTGCATACAATTCCAGGTCACCTCTACTTCATATTCAGGGCACTATGATGGCCCAACAATACGTAGATGATGTCCTGTGGCTGGTGACACTCCCCTACCTTAAGGAGATGCCCAGTGCCCTTTGTCAGCAGGATAAGGCCTGACCATATATTGCTCGCATCAGCCAAGGCCCTCTGCATATGGTGTACAGATGCTTCCCTCACCACCATTCTCTCCTGATCTCTTACCAATCGAACAGATCTGGTATGTGATTGGATGCCATTTGCAGACCCTGCCATTGCAATGTTCAGAAGATGAACTACAGCAAATGGTTGACAGGCAATGGAGAGCATTCCTCAGGATATCATCTGTAGTCTCATTGGCTCTGTACCTAGACGTGTTCTTTGTGTATCACTGTCCAAGGGAGTCCTACAGCCTGGTGAGTCGGCGCTGTTCTTGGTCTGTATTAAGCATACCATTTAAAAAAAAAGATCACTTATTATTCATTGCTGTCTCTCTCTGTTTGCCGAGTTTCATCACTTTCTGGCTACTTCTTCTTGGTGTTGCATTTTGAATGCTTGGTAGTGTACGTACATTTTTCAAGGATTGAATTTTCAAATGGACATAATATATATATCCTTTTACATAAATGCATTTAAAAATGAAATTCAAGAAAGGAGTGGTTTTGTAGCATTATTTTTACTCTACTGAATTTATCCAATAGACTATGCATCACAAATAACTACTTTTTTTAAAATCAAAAACTTTTCATTAAGTTTTGCTCCCCACCCCACTTGACTTGCACATATTACCCTTTTATATGTACTATATGAAGTTATATGAATCCTAAGTTTGTATATTTTTTATCACATTTAAGAAAAATTGTTTCTTTACTGATTATCCATTTCCATTTCACACATATCAACTGTGTAAAAGAATTTGACATATAAACTTTTATCTAAAATTAATATGGCCTTACTCCAGAAACACTGGAGGTAAACCATATCATGCTATACTTTTAAATTCCCAATAAACTACGGCTAAATCATTAGTTTAATGTGAACAAGTATTTTCAATACTTAATGCTGCAATCTATAACGTAATCCATTAAAAATTATCAATCATGCCCTTAGTTATAAACAGAAGAAATTGACATCTTCACTAAAGGAAAATCAATGTATTTCATCAGAAGAAAATTTTTCATGATTGCATTTTTGTTTGCATCTCACAGAATATAGTAGTACATTTTAAAAATTCCAACTTTTCATTTCTTTAGAAAACTCAATGGAATTCTCACTCAGTTCACTCTCTCTTTCTAAAAACCCTACAAATTACAACCAATGTTGAATTGACAATTTAGAAACAGTATGTTTTCCACATCCCCTTATATTTTTCTGATGTATACTGACTTCACACAAGCACTTAATGTACACTGATATGCCATTTAGAATATTAAGGACGGTAGATCATAAAACTACACATACAAATAAACAGGTTCAGATATGGCACATCATACCACACAAAAAAAAAAAAAAAAAAAAAAAAAAAATGATGCAACAAGAAGACATAAAGCAAATCGGACACAAATTGATATGCATACAGGTTTCGACGAAAAACGCAAAATTTTACATTTTGGCTGCTAATGAATGAACGGTTGCCGCTACAGCGCATCTGATCTGAGCAACTAGCAGGATATTTAAGAGCAGAAATTTCGATTTCAGGTCATAAAATTCTTCATGAATTTCATTCCGTGTACTCTGGTAAATAGTAACTATGCCTCACATACAGGTGCACGAACGATATGCGCAGATGTCAGAATTTGAGGGCTCAAAGAAGCCGGTTGGTCTTATCAGTGAATAGCTCGACATTTGAACAGGAGCAATGCCACTCCTGCTCAAATGTCCACCACTGCAAACAGGCTTGACGTTGTACACAGGTCAATGGTAGTTGACGCAAGAGGCACCGTGACCTCAGCCCTCTTTCTGTGAGCCGTCTGTGAATGGTCCTTGCAGTCACTGAAGCACTAGTTGCATGTACAATTGATGATAATGATGCATCTAGGGCTGTGAGTGCCACTCTGATGATTGCTCGGTCTTCATGTTCTGTCGTTTCTCTAGTCCTACTGCTTCCTTCCTGACGTGTGCGGCCATGGTTCACCCGTTGGTTCACCCATTCTCACCATGGTTCAGCAATCGTCAGAGTGGCACTCACAGCCCTAGATGCATCATTATCATCAATTGTACGTGCAACTAGTATTTTTGTATAAATGGCATGCTTTAAGACAAAGAAATACTTTTAGAAATTACAATAAAATTATATAATACTATAAAATAATGAATAGTTCTTTTTCATAAAGATTTAAATTTTGAAACTGTTTAAGGAAATAATTGTTCAGACAGCCCATGAGACTAATAAAAAGTACCCAATTTTCTTTATGAAAATATAGTATTGTTATTTACAGTTAGTTTTATTTTTTTATTTTTTTATTTTTTTTTAATACATTATGTGTATTTTCCCATGCTTACAGAAGAAACATGCAAAAGTTTTAAATAAAACTTACCAATCAAAGAATTTTGATCAATTCTCATAGGTTTATTGCATTTTAGCTGCGTGGACAAGAACAAACGATCACAATGACTTCTTGGCAATAAATTCATTCCATATTCAACAAACACAGGATGCAGAAGCAAATACTGAGGATCTGGCCTATAAATACTTTCAATTAGACAAATACCATAATATTTATATAAAAAGTGCTTTCAATTAGAATGTGCTAATACTTTTTAATAATTTTAAAATTAAGAGTAAAAAATTTAATATACAGTCAAACGTCTTTAATCCGGAATGATCTATAATCCGGATCTCAAAGCTACAAACTTTCATAAGCTAAGCTAAAGTTATCTAATTATGTATTTCAGTTAATGTTGCAGATTGCGTTGTTCCTTAATCTCCAAATTGGATCCAGCTTATTATTTTTTCCAGACTGTTAGAGCAATTTTATAAAAGTAAGCTTGAACTTTCGATTATGTCAAAAAGAATTTCCGATTCTGGAACTGCCAAAGGATCTACAAAGCGAAAGCATGTTTCGATGTCCATCAAACAAAAAGTGGAATAGCTGCAAAAAAATGGATAAAAGCATATCCTTTGTTTCTCTAACCATTCCAAAATATGTTTATCAATTTCACGCTGCTCTGCGGGGGGGGGGGACGTCGCAGTGTGCAATGAACTGGAAGAGTTGATCTGTCAGCACAATCCTTATCTTCAGGGCAGATGTTTTTATTTTATTCAGCTTATAATTCCTTACTAAAAGTAGTATTTCATCTCAATGTACTCTGACTTTGATATGATTTAAATCAAATTCTTCATCATTATAAATTTTACGCATGCGCGGGTTGAAAGAAATGTTTAATAAAGTAAACAAATAAATATTAAAGTTTTTTTTTTTTTTTTGTGTGTGTGTGTTTGTGCGTGTAAATTTTGATACCCTTTAGATCATAATTGCTCTTTATTCCATAAGTTACCATTTCATATTTTTAATTTTATAATTTCTCCATGCCATCTTATCAGATTAAACTGATGATCTGTAATCCGGAAAAACCGATAATCCGGAATCGCCGAAGTCCCCACGAGTCCGGATTAAAGACTTTTGACTGTACCACAAACATTGAAAAATATCCTTCAAAAATTTAGTCGCATGAATATGGCTAAAGAATACCCTCCTCAATAGGGAGGGAGAATCTGTTATCCAAAACCCAGATAAGCCTTTTGTGGGGATCATAAGCCTTTTGAAAGTCAGAATTTAAATTTAGCAATCTTAATTACAATGTCTGCATGTTTATACTGAGGAACAATTACTCAAGAGAGTTTTAAGTTGGCATTTCTGACTGATATATAAATGACAATAAATTTCCAAGAATGGCAGTTTACTATAAAGAAAGCAAATAGATAATAATAGGGTAATTTTAAGTAGAATCCTGGATCTGCATGACAGTGCTGAGAACAGTAAATGTAAGCTTATATAACATCTCAAATCATAAATATGTATCAGATAGCATACCTGTTATGTGGCAAAACATTTAAGCATTCAGAAATGAATAACTGCAAGTTGTTAGGAAGAGCCTGCAAATAAGCATGTAAATATCCAGCTAAATACATAGCATATAAACTTAAATATTTTATATTTACCTCATTACTTGAGAAACAAGACATTCTTTAAAATTTTATATTATAAATATACTATACTCACTTCAAATTTTGTAACAGCATTATTCTTTTCAAGAAGGGAAGACAAAACATCAGAACCGTTTTCTAAAACGGATATTTATTCAGATTAAAATATGGAACTTCGATATTAAACCAAAACTGCAAATGCTACACATATGAAACAAAGGAACAATATTAATTTTCCTTATCTTTAAAATTTTATATCTGAAAAGTATCCTGCTATACTAATAAACTGAACACAAGTTCTAAATTCCTAGCCTATCTCTACATATAATAAAAGAAAGGGTCCATCTGTGTGTCTTTTGTTTGTGATGCGTGTTAGATCCAGGACTACGAAATTTGGTACATAGGTGCATCTAGACAAGAGCCAGTGCACCTCAAAGCAATTTTTTCAAAATTCGAATCAGATTTTTTAAATTTTACCCTTTTTAATGAAATCGCATCATTTTGAATAGTTTCATTCTTTTTTAGAAATGAGGTTTTGGCAACAGTTTTTCATTCAATGCTTTGTATGCTGGATTGCTGACTGGTGAAAAAATGAGATAAAATGCTGCTTATTTTCTTTTGATTTTTGGACACACAAGACGGACATCGCAATCTTCTTACTCTGACGCACATGTGTCTCACGAAGCACAACAGAAAGAATTTCCTTTCCCCCCTCTCTCTTTATTATCTAATGGCAAAGAGGTTTGGATATTTTGAATTATGTCATCCACAAAGCACAATTTTGATTGGTTATTGCTTTCTGATGATAGTTTCATTTTTTTAGAAATATGGTTTTGGCAACACTTTTCATTCATATCTTTGGATACTGGACTCCTGACTGTTTCCTCTTAAAAACATGATATTTATTGCTTATTTTATTGTAATTTTTTTATATTATGTTTTAATTATATATAAAGTTTTGCATAATTTTTTTTTAGGAAACAAAGTTTTTAACTTCCTTTACACCATTTGAATTCTTAAGATTTTGCAACGAAAAGTTGGTTAATTTATTTATTAGGATAATTGATATTTGCATTAAGGCATATTGCTTATTTAATTGTAATTTTTTTAATATATTTTTATTGAAATTTGTGGGTTTTTTTAATAAAGTTGTTCTGCAGAGTAAAATTCTGTTCATTTTTTTAAATTTAAAAGTGTTCCCTTGGGGCATTTTCCCAGTACATTTAAAAGCCGGACGAAGGCTGGCCGTGTGGCGGCTAGTATTTAATAAATGAATGTACAATATTTTCCAAAATTGTACAATGGCTAGAAATAAAATTCTATAGACTTTCATAAATACTTGTTAACTATTATTAATTAAACATACCAAAATATTAAACTAAAAAATATGCACAAAAATGATGATTACTCAAGAAAGTTTCATGTTGAATATAATAAAACTGACCCACCGTATCACCAGACAGTTATGGTGTTATAGAAATTAACATATTTATAAAATGAATAAATAAGATGTGTCAGTTTGGTATAGGAAAATTACCTTCAATATGGAGTATGATCTCCCCTGGAAGCAATGCAACACACACAATGACATACAATACTGTTAACTATGAAGTTTGTCAGTTCTGTACAAAGTGACATTGCTCTTGCAAAGCAGTTGACATTGTTCTTGCAAAGCAGTTGCAAAGATGGCAAGAGTATGAAGAGGATTGAGAGCAGCTCTGTCTTCCTAAAGCATCCCAAATATGCTTGATAGGATTTAGGCCCAGTGATTGAGTTGGTCACTCAATGCAGAGATATGTTTGCTGTTGTAGGTAATCATCCACGATCTGAGCCCCTATGCAGTCTAGCGTTGTCACCTATTGCCCCGGCATAAGGGCACACATAAGCATTAAGGATGTCCCCTCTGCAGGACTGAGCATTAATGGTTCCATGTGGGAAGACTTGGAAGTCCGTGCGTTAACCCAAAGAAATACCAAACCAAACACAGACACCGTATGCATTTCTTTCATGAATGCTTGATGGATGATAACAGATTTCAGATTCCCTAAAAATCAAATAATTGTCTACTAACACTTCGAAGGCTAAACATGGACTCATCCATAAAGAGAACAGCTGGCTATTGATCAGTTGTCCAATGGACATGCTGACGTGCCTACCTAAAATGTCCCTCCTACTACATGATATTAATGGCATGCAAATGGCTGGCTGCCTCACATGCAGACCTCATTCATAGAAGCTTCTATGTGCAGTTGACATTGGCAAGTCAGTAGCTGCAGCAAGGGAGGATCTGAGTTGAGGTTCTGTTCCTTCGTGCACATAATAATAAATATCGTCCTCAGTGCTCATCGTAACAGTTGATCATCCTTGGCTGAGCGTCCTGGATGGTGAAGCTACAGTTAGAAATTATTGCCAAAGTCTATGCACCACAAGACTTGAACTTAGCCATCTGTCTGACTTTGTCCTGCCTCTAGTCTCCCAATAACTCTCCAATGCAGTTCTTTGGGCAAATGATGCCTGAAGGTCATTGTTACACATTGACTATCCCAGATTTCTTATCTCAGTATCACATCGAAATTTGCAGACTTCCTCCTTGCAGATGATGTATTTTCACTGCAGCAAGACTAATTTGCATACTGCAGTTTTGCTCAGCTATTCTTATTTGACAACATATTCACATTTTATATGGATTGGCTTATTTTTGAAGAGTTATTGCAATTTCCGTGATTTTTCTTTAGTTTTTGGAAAATTAGGAAAATTAGCGCATAGCAATGTGTTGTTGCTTTTTTGACTTAACTCACCTTTCTGACAGTAACATCAAAACAAGCCCACGAAATTCATCATGACATTGAGCGTAAGACTGTGCCTGTCATTGGAAAGAGCCATATCATTATGTATTTAAAGCTGCGTTCACACTGGCCCATTGTTCCAACTAAAATTCCCTAAAGGGATAAACAGATAAACTGATGTTTGCTTTTCCCGCGGCGGGGGGAAAATACAGTTAGAACACACAGGAACGATGATATGGTAAGATGTGTAGATCCTGCACTGTGCCGCGTATGATATTTCATATTATGTTTCAATCACGTTGTTATTGTTTTCAATAAATAATCAAAAGACAACTACTGTGAATTAAATGAATGACTCAACACATCAGAGCAAAGATATCACAGGCATCAAGCGTCAAAGCATAAAAAAATACTTTCTGTGCACGTCAGTTCACACCCGTGAGGCATCTTTCGCTTTAAAAGTTGTCATATGCTCGCACTAGATGGCGCTTCATATCGGAAACTTTGGGAAAAACTTGAAACTTTTCTGTGGTATTTTGACTTTTTACGATTACATTTTTTAATTAAAATGGATTTAATTTCTGCTTGATTAAAACTTATTTCACTTCTTGCTTTGTGTAAGAGAAGCAGAACGCAAAATTTTTGTGTGGTATTTTGACTTTTTATGATTACATTTCTTAATTAAAATGGATTTAATTTCTGCTCGATTAAAACATATTTTACTTCTTGCTTTGTGTAAGAGAAGCAGAATGCAGTGGTTTTTATTAATATGTGAGAGATGACTGCAGTAAGGAGATGCAAATAATTTAATTGAAGAAATGTGCTTGAACGAAATGAAATTTTGTTTAATTACTTTTGCATGACACCTCATCAATTTGATGAATTTCTAGCATGCATTGAACTATTTATTCAAAAAGCAGAACAATAAATTTGTCAGAATATCCCAGAAAAGGATCATTGTATACATCTAACTTAATTTATTTCTGATTTTTTTAATGATAATTAAAAAATCCTCATTTCATTATTCTATTTTGGAAAGTAAATTTTTCATGTGGTATAATTAGAATACCATAAACATTTTTGCATGATGTAAGAACTTTTCTTAAATGCTTTCTTAAATAAACTTCCCTTAATCAGTTTAAATAATGCAATAAAAAGTATATTTTGTTTAAATATATATAGGATTTACAGCATTACTAAATTAAATATCACACTTAAAAAAAGCAGTTATTTTTAAACTAATAAACAACAACAGTTTAAAAAAATTATTTTCTGCCTTAGGTACATATTTTTTACCTTAAATGTAACAGTAATTACTTCAATTAGCCCTTCATATATTAATGAACGGCCACTGTCTAAAGGTTTCTTTTATAAGGTCACTTTTATCTAAAACTCATTTGAAGTAACTGCATTTTATATAATACTTCTTTTTCTGCATTAAAAATTGAATTCCACAATTAGCAAATTTGCTAATGCTCATGCCAATATTTTTTTAATTAGTGAAAAATTATCGTCAAGATTAAACCTGTGGAAAAGTGGTCATGCATGTTAAAAAAAAAAAAAAAACATGAAACCATTAAAATGCATAGTAGTATTCCTTGAAATCAGATACATACTAGCGAGTTTCTTTTCTGTATAAATAACAGTTTTTAAAATTTTTTTAAACAAATGGTTTACTTGTCACCACTCGTTTAAAATTCAGAACTCAATAATTTTTTTATTTACATAAAACAGCAACTTTATACTAATACCAGTATCACTTTTGCTAGTCTCGTGTCAGCCAAAATAGAATCAGATCATAGTAGCCAGTTCTTCTTATGAATTATACCAAAGGCTCGTTGTCAAAAGAAGGATAATGCACAGAATGATGAGCGAAAATTAGGTATGTATAAATGAAATGAAAAATAAGTGCAAGTTTCTTGTGTCACCCCCCAAAAAAGTCGCAACAGATTAAAAAAAAAAGTATATATTCGTACCACCATCAAAGGTAGGAAACAGCAAGGCACAAACCCACCATTAGAAGCCCCTAGTAAAAGCTGAGTTTTGTACTTAAGAAAGCGTGTTACCTCCGCGCTAAGGTACCTTGCAAGTAAGCATCGTTTTCAAACTTCACGTTCAGGAAATTGAAGAAGCCTCAGGGCTCCATAATATTTTCTGTAAATATATTTTTTTTTAAATATTAATTCCATTACAACACCACTCTGGTGAGGCTTGAATCCAAAATCTTTAACTCAAGAAGCCAATGTCTTATCCACTAGGCAACAAGAGCAACCTTAAACTGATGTGGACATATTTTAAGAAAAATTCAAAATCTGGGATTTCAAAATCTATCACTATTTTCTCACAACGAGC